GCTGCCGGGAGGGGGCCGGGGGGAGCGTCGCCTCACGGTGCCCTTGGTGGGGGCACAGAGAGCTGAGATCTCTCTCCTTGTGATGGGACAAGGCATGGGAAGTCCTCCTACAGATTTCTAGGAACTTTGTAGGAGCTTTTAGGAATTTTTCTTTAGGAAATCCCGCTAAAGGCTGTAGCTCTTGACTTACCGTGCCTCATGCGACCACTCGGACGCCCGTGCCCCCCAGGGGCTCCTCCTGTGCTGCCAGGGATGGGGGGGAGAGGGTCACGTCACGCAGAGGTCACGTCACACAAGGCCACGCACACCTCCATCACACACACACGTGTGACAATTTCTGTTTTGGTTGGGTTTTTTTTTTTAATATTTTATTATTTTTGCCATGAAAAGTACAAACAGTCAAGTCTGGGGGTGAGGGCCAGGAGTCCGTCCCCTCCCGGGGGCCCCGTTCCACCGCAGGGGGCCCTGGTCACGCTTGGGAGCCTTCTCCCCGTGTTGGGTCCCCCCAGACAAATGGCAGGGGCCAGGGCAGGGCCCCCCGGGGTGCAGCTCTTCTGGCTACTGAACTGGGGGTCCCCTTGGCCCACCCATACTGCTGGGGCTAGGGCTGCCTGGACGCCTGGGTCCCTGGGATGGGGGTGTGGAGCCACCCCAGGGGGGCCAGACCTTGGGGAGTGGAGGCAGCCCCAGACGCCTGGGTCCCTTGCCCACCCCAGGAACTCGCGTGCACACAGGCAGGGGGAGTAATAAATATCTACATTAACAATAAGTTAAAAATACAAGAAGCTGCAAACGGGCACGACACGACGCAACGCAAAAAGCGGGACCCGGGAGAGGTGAGGTGGGGTCTCAGGAGGAGCAGAGGGTCCCAGGGCTGGGGAAAGCCAGCGAAGAATCAAAAATAAATAGGAACTGAAACCACCGAAAAGCAAGAAATTATCCCGACGGAGAAAATCAATAAGAATAGCAATAGTGGTAACACCAACAGCAGCAGCAACAATAATAACAACAACAATAATAATAATAATAATGAGGATGGGGCTGCTATAGGAAACTCCGGCTGTTGGGACGGTTGGGGGTTTCAGGGGCTTTTCTGCCCTTTTCTTTGGCCAGGACACTAGAACTGGCCAAGCAAAAGCACCCGCCCCAGCGAGCTGAGGAGCTTGGGGCAAAACAATGCCCATTTTAGGGTATTTGGAGAAGGGTGGGGACAGGGCAGTGTGGACAAGACCCCTCCCTCGCCCTGGTTTGGGGGTGCTGGAGGCTCAGGGGCAGTGGGACCCCCTGGCAGCCTTGACCTGATGACATTTTGGTGCCAGCAACCCCCCCAAAACAGGTTGTGACCATGTTGGGGAACACAACCTCTGGCCGTGCCTCCAAGCAATTGAGGGGGGCACATAACAGATTCCCACCCCCATCCCCAACTTCCCTCCACAGGGGCAGTTTTGGGGGACTTCAGGGAATTTTTTTTTTTTTATTTATTATTTTTTTCTTCTTCTCTTACAAAAATAGATGGTTTTGCATCTGTCGCTGCAGAGGAGTCACCGCTTGCTGTGTCAGTTTCTCTCCTCGCTACCATTAGCGTTACTGTTACTATTATTAGTTGTTATTTTTGGTTCTTTTTCCCCAAAAAACTTCCCCCCTCCAAAAGAAAAGAAACAAACAGAATAAAAGAGGAGAGAGAGCAAGCAGACGCAACCCCCCCGGCCTCCTG